CCCCAAAACCCCAAAACCCCAAAACCCCAAAACCCCAGAATATCCAATATTATTTGAATAATAATTTAAATTTAGGAAGGAAATGAAAAACAAAATTGTTGCCTTGCCTCCCCAAGACGTTATGAAAGAAGATCAGAAAGAGCGAATGAAAGCAAAGAATCACAATGTTTCTCGAGATCTACAGAAGGCATCCAGAATTTGGGATACTTTCTTCCACATGATCATCAAATTCAAGCTGTACAGACTTCAGAGTAAGGGAGAGATGGAATATTTAATCATATAGCCAAAGGGGCTGAATCGCAAGGCAAATAAACTTATTCTAACAATATTTGGAAATCTAAGAGACTTCTTTTTGAAGTATTTTGATGGCCTCAAAAAGAATGCTCAAGTAATCATCAGTCTTGATGTTTCAAATATAGATAGACAAAATGAATATGAAAGATATACAGATTGTCGAGAACAACATTGAATTCAGTAATTTGGTAATTAACACCACTTAGTATGCTGAAAGATTCAGGAATACAAAGACAAACTAGCAAATATGACCAAACAAGACAAGGAACTTTCCTGTCTAATTGGGGGTACTGAGCACAAGAGTAATGGCTTTGAATAACTTGGTAGAAGATTACATTGACTTAGGCCAAAGCTCTAGCCTGAATAAAATGATAACTCAAACACTTGTAGGATGCCTTCATCTAAAAACAAACTTTATCAATAAAAGAAGGTATTATTTAATAAAATTTTAGATTGGTTCTTTGAATACAGGAGCAACTTCTGCTCTCAGAGTCAGTCATAACTCAGGATTGGCAAAGCTATAAAATTCCTGAAACTTCAGTTCACTATATTCTCCGAAATAGTCTTGATAATCACTATGAGTATCCTTGTGGATCAGATGTAAACAAAGTTCTTGTGAGTAAGACTCTCTGACTTCTGCCTTACTTCTTCTCCAAAGATGCTATAATACCTGGATATACACTTCCCTTCAGAGAATATGTCTATCCTGAGGAAGAAAAAGAGGCCGATTCTCTCCCAAAAAACACCAGAAATATCATCCCATCTAGCCATTTATTCATGATGAGAAAGTCTCTGCACAAAGATCTAAAAGGCAAAGAAGATAGGTTTGAGGACAACAGATTCTGGCTTAAATTTGGAGATAAAGTCCTAAAAATTACTACCCACATGCTTAGTCAATACGTTTCCCTCCTCTCTATGCAAGCTGAAGGAAGTACAAAAGGCAATGAAATGGAGATCTTAGGATGAAAGATATATATCAGCGAAGCCAGAAGAGTTAACTTTGTTATCGATTTGAGATATTTAAGCCTTATAATACAAAATTATACCATCCTGTTAGCTTATGCTAGCACTTTCTGAACAAATGGCATTTTGAATTATTATTTTAACAGCATAATTTACAGTCTAAAGAATCAAGTTGCCATAATACTAAAACTTGAAGTGTGCTTATCTATTCCACCAGAATCAGACCTTTCTAATCCTTTCTGTGAGATGTTCGAACTTAAATCTGTTGATAATCTGTCAAAGTATCTGACTTCAGATCCACCTGTATCTCCTCTAGACTTTAATCACCAGTTATCAGCCTTTAATAATTTCAATGCTGATATTTCAGTAAGATAGTTCTAAAACTCTAGGAGATCGATCAGACCCAAAAACTATCAAAACTGAATTTCCTTATCACAGGATCTAAAGATAACTTAAATTTTGAAATCGAAGATCTTAGCCGCTTTATCCAAACCAGGCCATCTCCAGAAGAATTCATCTTTATGGCCCTAAGCGGCCTGACAACAATCACCGAAGTCCACGAAGAACAAACATCAAAATCCAAACATCTCGAAAGAACCATCGCACATACCATTCTCAAAATAACCCCACAGCTGCTGACATGCCACCAGGAAAGCTTAAACCTGGGCAACTTGGCAGAAAGCCCTCTCCTTGAAGACAGTGAAAACCCCCTGAATACTTCTTCATAATCAGAGTGGATGTATAATTCATGGTAATCAATAGTCTTGTTGTTCGAAAGTTATGATCTCAGAGGAAGGGCATAGCAGTTCTTAGGTTTCTACTAGGTCAGTTTTCTCATTATAACCCCAAAACCCCAAAACCCCAAAACCCCTTTCTTATCTTATTGCATTGAATAATTCCTATACTATAAATTAATTTTCAATATTCCTCCTTCTTTCTTGTATTGTAAATCTTTTTAGCTAGTGTTAGATGTCTTCTCCCAAGTTATCGAGTCTTTTGCATGTAGAATCAGATTTCAATTGCCTCAGTTTTCATTGTTGCCAATTGCTAAGGAGCTCTGAGATAGGGTTTTGGATAATGCCAAACTTCAATTTTTAGGTTAGCTCTATCTTATCTCAAGAGCTGGGAAAACTCATCTTTTCTTTCGCTTCAGGATCTTCAAGTTGGATTATGTTTTTCCTAATGTGCTTTCCAGGATCTGGTTTGCTCCAAACGATGCAGAATTTTTAGAATTTATAGATTATCCCAGAATTCATTAAAAAGCTCAACCTAATAGCTTTTAGCTGAAACAAGCATATTACTCACCGATCCCCTCTCTAGTCTATGCTATCCCAGAATTTAATAGAAATATATTTTCAGTCCCAGTCCTTTGAAACTTGTTGCTGAAGTTTCTTTCTCCTAGCTGCTCTGGAGATAAATATTTATTTTTCTGACTGATGATGGACAATAAAGCAAGTTACTATTTCTCTTTCTTGTCTTCTCTCATTGGAGTGTCTGATTTTGCATAGGCTTTGCAGTCAGTGCTCAGCTTCCTGATATTTTTGTGATATTTATTCAAGTAGTTGCTTTTTCTGAAAACTCAGAGATCTAGCTTAAATTAATGCTCCTACTTGGGCTTTCTTTGATTAATATTGTTAACTTTTCTCAAGCACAAGTCTCTTCTTGGAGTATATATTTTCAAAACCTATCAAATAAGATTGCACTTATAATTAATAATGATGTTATGCTTCTCTTTTATATCTGTGTGATTTCGATGACATCGTCTTGCTGTAATGGTTTAGATTTCTCTTCTTACTTTAAATGACTCCTCAATAGGTTTCTCAACTTTGACAGGATAATTTGTACACAAGATTCCGAATAAGAACTCTCTCCTGTAGTAGAATTTCCTTATAATCTGGGATATGAAATTGTACATCTTCATTTTCTTTCAAATAATCCCAAAAACTGACTGTGTTCAACTCTTTTAATTTAGGAATATTCTTCATGACAATTTCTTAGTTCATTACAGCCTAAAAGTAAAAATGTTCAGCTGCACTTGCCTTCTTTTCTTTTTAGAGGAATTCTCCAAAACCTGAGGAAGCACCTTCTGTAGGATGGGAGAGACAGGTTAACTATAATCGTAATGACATTCCCAATATTTAAAAGCATCATAAATATTTATCTCTGAGACAAATCTTTTCTGAGTTCATCAGCAGGTGCAAATAAAAATTCCATTTAATAGCAACTACATATTTTAAGCATAGCAAACATTTCTTCAGAAACAAAGTTTCTGAAGAATCTGAAGCCAATTCGGTAATAGGTAAGCTTGTAAAACTAGCTCTTTATTAATTTTTATTCTAAAACTAGGAATACACAGAGACATTTTCAATTGCTTTAGTATTTTGGTACTTAGATCAAACTTCGAAAATACAAAATTTCAAATATTCATAGCTCTACTAGATTCATTTAAAAACTGCAACTGAGAAAATTAGCAATGATATTATCTCTAGGGTTTCCTGAAAACTCATTCTCCCTCAGTTCTACATCTCTTCTTCAGAAATTTTGCAGACTACCCTCCTGAATGAGGATAGCTAGGTCTCATTTTCCACTCTATGCAGCTTTCTTATTTGAGACTTAATTTTTAGGATCAATTTCTCTCAAGGGTTTATAAAAGGTGAATACTGAGGGATAACTACCAGCAAGATCTTCTGGCTCTCTAAAAACTTCTTCATCATTTTCTAAATGTGAATCTTTTCATCGTCAAGAGCTATTGCATACTCCACATTCATATTTTAGGCTACCTTATCCAGGAAGAATTTAAACTTTCTTGAGTTATAAGTCTTCATGTTAGAGCTGATACCATGAGTCCCTTTAATAAAAACTGCAATCATAAATGATGTTGTAAAGTTAAAGAGGAATGACTTGTAGAATCCTGGGGCTCCTCTTTTGGTTCTGGTGTGTATGCAGGTCTGAGAATCTGAACCCATCTACATAAACTACAGTGATTCCCTTCTCGAGTATCAGGAATTGGATGCCAACAGCCTCAAGAAGATCTCTACAATTCGAGTTTGTCTCAATTAACTGTTTTAAGCAATTTATTTTATTAAATGATATTTGCAAATCCTTTTTGAGAAGACTCCTCAAGGTTGACTACAACATTGAATCAGGATCATTCTCAGAGTTGATGATAAAATACTGAAGATCTTCAACTGTGAAAGCCGAGTATAGCTAAGGCTCTCAGAACTTCCTACTAAGTTCGATGAGGATGGTATCTAATTTTGTTTTCTCAATTAAATTTTTAATACCAGCTCGGATTTGTTCTATCTTCATATTGTAATGCCTTATAATAGAGCTTATCTCTGATTTTGGCAATTTATATTCCCTGCAGTCCAAGGAATACTCTTCTCTAGATAGATACCCCCATATGAAACTTGGAGCCATAAATTATGATGAAAGTGGGATCAAACCATGTTCTCAGAAGATCAGTCTCTCCATGTCTGGAGGGTGTTAGCACTAGGGTTATCAGAATTTCATAATATTTCTTTGGACTCTGTGTTTGTCTTCTCTTTGCCCCTAGAAAAGATCTGAGGTTTATAAAATTCTGGCTATTATCCCTATGTGGGCGGTTTCCAGTAATGTTGAGAGTCTCTGATATTCCCCTGTTAATAACAGAGGCTTCGTGGACAATTTCATCTTCACTAAGCATGCCTATGGACTTTCAGAGAAAGAAAGAGCCTGAAATGTACAAGTAAGAACTGTCAATACTGATTGGGCATCTTAGAGATGCTCGATTTTAACTTTTGTATTTATTAATTTCCAATTTTACTTGCTTGGAGTTTTAAAGTCAGGCAATACATTTCAAGGGTATAGAGGAATATGTTGCTAGGAATAGATTTAAATCAATAGGGAAAAGATTTAGTGGAAGGGTCAGGATCGATAGTCTTGGCATAAAATGTGTTATTTAAGCACACAATCTATGTGCATTGGGTTGAGGATTGATAAAAATACAATTAAAGATAGCTGGGAGTGAGAGTTTCCCTATAATTTTTCTAGTAATATAGATATTTATTTCTTATGTGATTTTCCCTAAATTAGTTATTGTTTTGCCATATGCAGTTAGATATAATTTAGTTAAGAAGGGTGCACAAGACCATTTATTTTATTTGAGACTTCAAAAGAAAATTTTATATTGGGGTTTTGGGGTTTTGGGGTTTTGGGGTTTTGGGG